GAGAGAGAGAAGAGAGAGGAGAGAGAGATTATTTTAAGGAATTGGCTCATGTGATTATGTGGGTTAGCAAGTTTAAAATCTGTAGTGCTGACCAGCAATCTGGAAATTCTGGCAGGTATTAATGCTGAAGTTTGAATTCAAAGGCATTCTGAAGATGTAATTCCTTTCTCCTCAGAGGACTTGAGTCTTTTCTCTTAAGGCCTTCAGTTGATTGGATGAGACCCACCCACATCATGGAGGGTAATCTGCTTTATTCAAAGTCCACTAGCTTAAATGTTAATCACATCTCAAAAATACCTTCACAACAACATCTAGACTGATGTTTGACCAACCAACTGCACTATGGCCTAGCCAACCTGACACAGAAAATTAACTATCACAATTAGTATATTCAAGCAGGCGTGGAGGTATACACCTGGCCTGAATTGGCAGGAATAATAGGAAGAGATCACTCGTACTACAAGTAGATTAAGTGAAGGATAGTGAGGGGCCTGTGTGTGGCAGTCGTTGCTTTAAAATTTCATTTTATTTAACTTATTTAAATAAGAAATAATTGATAAATGACAAATTTCCTTTGATTTTATTCTCTAGATATTATTAAATAAGACATTCTAGGATCTCTGAGACTGATGAATAAAAGCTTTCTGTAGTATTGATGACAGAGCTGCTTCAGTGAGGAAGCTAGTGTAAAAATAACCCTAACTTCCAGCTGGTGCCACATCTGGGTGCTTAAGGGGGAAGCCAGCTTTCAGTATGAATTGGCTGCTGTGGAACTCTATTTCTAGTTGTCAATGCAGAAGGTTTATTGGATACAGTTACCAGTATCCTTCCTGGTAATTCAAAAGAAGAAACTCAGATGATTTACTGAAGTATTACTTAGAGAGAAAGTAATTCAAAAGAGAACACCAAATTGAGGTATAAAAAAGGAATATTTATCTTTTAAAAATAAAATTTTTAACACTACTGACATCTCATTTACAAAGTATTTTCCTGAAATACTTTTCATTGGCTTTGCTTAATACATTCTTTTATTTTGAATCAAGACTCAAGTGAGGGCATGCTTGTGTTATTATAAGCACCACCAATACCACAAAAGAAAAGATAATCTCTGCCTCAGTATATTAGCCCCAAATCCTTATTCTTTCCCCTTTTCTTCCCCACAAAGTAAGACTTCCTGATTGGTTCACCTACACTCTGCCTTTTCAATATGCTGACAGGCATCACAGAACTGGAGATTTCCCTGGCAATCAGCACTCCAGGTAGAGCTGACTTATTTGTAGGACACCTCACACACTCTGGCCCATTATTTATTCATTACAAAGAGTTTTCTATTGATACTCATATCAATTCTTTGAAAACATTACACATTAAGTAAACATAGTATTTACAGCAGTACATGGTTTGCAATTCAGAACACTGACAGCAGAAGAAAAGGGACCAACAGACTTTGTAAGAAGGCCAGAGAGAAAAGCATATTAAAATGTGTTTTTGCTAATGTGGGTGTGCATGTGTACACATGTGCATATGTGTGTTTTAATTCATAGAAAACTAAACATGCCCTTCTTTAAAAGCAGATTATTTAAAAGGTGATTTTAAATAGCACATACATATGCCAATTATACCAGACACTTGCTTTCTGTACATTCATCTAGATTTTTTTTTTATTCCGAAATAAACCTTTTATCTGGTATATTAGAAAAAATAACTTTGGAACATCTGTCAACTTTTGGTTCACAGTAATTTTGCAAAATCCACAAACCATGCTTTGTCTTTTAAAAGGTGACCTTGTCAAGCACCTTCTAGAAGACACTGATGTGTTATTAATTTACTGGGGATTGGAAAGATAAGATCAGCTATGGAGTACCTAGTGCTCCTCACATTTCTCTCACTAGTAGCAACATTAATGTGAAGATAAGTTTTGCAATATAAATCATATACGAATCATCAAAATATTTATTTAACAGTATTTAAAAAAACCAAAGTCTACAACAGTAGTACAGACACCAAAAACACCCCAAATGCTCTTTGGCCTTAGGCCTTTTTCAATACTGCTAATTATCCCAATTGATCAAAAGGGAGGAAGTTACAGCACCTGAGTTTTGAGTAAATTTCTTTTTAGGGCCTGTGGTTCTAGATGCTATTCTAGGATCCTTATTTTAACTTAAAAGAGCCTTCAGGAATGAATTGACAATTTTAAAACAATTTCCACTTGAAAACTATTGAAAATACAAATCACTTTCTAAGCTTGTCCAACACACATTTATTTTCAGGATCCCAAGTTGTTAGGCAAAGGGATTCAGGTCAGTTTCAAGCCCTCAAAGCCACAGAATTTCCATCTCTTCTCCGGACTTGCTCCAACTCCAGTCATTTCTTGCTTGAAGGTATACTGGAGTCTACTCATGAGACATTCCACATCACTGGTGCAGATCTGTGAGACAGAGAGGACATCTCCATTCAAAACCAGTTCCACCATTCTAATGTGGCTCTTTTTCTTCCAATGTTGTCTACTTTTGGATGCTGATACGTAGGTGTGTGTTGGGGGTGGAGTTGACCTCTTCCCTTCTTTGTGCATGTGTATGTGTTGGGTGAGTATCTTCCAGATGGCAGCCTTCCTCTGCTGTGACCACCAGAGTCCACTGAGCTTTATTTTTATGTATTTCATAAGTTTTATTTAGGTATAATTTACATACAATAAATTCACCTATTTTAAATGTACAGTTTGCTGAGTTTTAGTAAATTTATACATTTGTATAAATTTTTCTATAGTATACAATTGTACAAATTTAAGAAATTTATACAATTTATAAAAACTGTCACCACAATTCAGTTTTAGAACATTCCATCACTTTCCAAAATTTCTTTGTGCACCTTTAAATTTAATTCTCACTTTCAATTCCTGACTTTAATTTTTCACTGAAGTTTTGCCTTTTCTGAAAATTTCATATATGTATAATCATGCAATATATAGTGTTTTGTGACTAGTTTCTTTCAGTTAGTATGATATTTTTGAGATTTATTACTACTGTGCTTTCCATTGGGAAGAGTTGATGTCAGGCATGTGGAGAGGCTTGGGTTTGTAGCCAGCTGAATGGCAGCTGATCAGTACTGGTGATGCTATGTGCAGGCCTGAAGCTGCAAAGCATTTTGGGAAAGGAGGGAGGCAGAAATGATTGCCATCAAACCCCTCTCTCTCTCTCTCTCTCTCTCTCTCTCTCTCTCTCACACACACACACACACACACACACACACACACACACACATCAATTTCTCTTGATACCACTGCAAGCTCTCTTTCAGAGGTACTCTGACAGAAAGCTGCTTAGGAGAAACTGGATTTACATTAAGAGTGAGGTCAAGCTTTCTTATCAGTACTAGACACTATTCAGTTAAGTGAAATCACATTGTAGAGTATCCCCACTTCAAAAAACACAAATATGTAATATTTATTGATGTATACGTACAATATTGGTGCATATAGAATTGAATTCCCACTTCAAAAAACATAAATATGTAATGTTTATTGATGTATATGTACAATATTGGTGCAGCATATGCATGAAAAAGGGTTTGAAATAAAGATATACCAAACTGTTAACAGTGGTTATCCTTGAGGGGCAAGATTGTAACTTTCAATTTTCCTTTTACTATATTTTTGTATTACTTACATGTTTAAGACAATATGTATCCATTATTTTTACAATTAAAAACAGAACCAGATAATTTTTACTGACATATAGTCCAATTTTCGATTGACCACTTAGTCCTGGTGCTCTCATTCCATCCCTCCCTTCACTGCCAAATGGGCTATTTAATTGTAGAATAGCATTATTTCCCAGAGATAAATGAGGAAGGTGTACTAGTTGGAACAGAAAAAAGAAACTGCCATGAGGACAAAGTATTTCCACATTTGAATTCTCAAATGGGCCAGTGCCTCTGTTAGGAGGACATATGCTTAAACAGCTTAACATTGTGGACATCCAGGATGTTTAGGAGTCTGCCAGGAATCTGTATTCTAATGGAATTTTTCAGAAGGTTCAGATCCTATAAAATAGTGAGTACAATCCATGAGCAGTTTTAACTGAATGCTGCTTCTGAAAAAATTTATTGTGAATTCATTTATTCTGAGGGGTCAAGAGTCCCTCCCACCTCTATGCGGCATCCTTCACTTTCTAAGGAACTAGTATTAACCTTGCTCCTGACACTTTGTGAGTTCCCCCACAGGATAGCATCCAGGGCATGAAGTAGCCTACGAGATCAGCTGTGAGCAAATATTCAGTCTGTGTTACAGACTTATTCTTCCATCTTTTTTTTTTTGTCACTGCCTTGATTGTTTCATCATAGATAATGGCAGTGATGATAGTGATGGTGGGGAGGTGGTTGGCATAAGACTTCTAACTTGGAAAATTAACATTAGCTAATGGCTAACAGACCAGGGCTAAAGTTTGATTGGTGACAAATGTTGGTTAATTTGCAGTTTATATGTAAATTAAGAGGAAAAAGAACATTCTTCTAAGATTTGTCTTGGAAGCTGGGTGGCCAAATCATTTAGGTTTGCCCAGGACTTCCTGTTTTAGGATTGGAAGTCCTAAGTCTCAGGAAATCCCTCAGTTTCAAACAAACGGGGACAGATGGTCACCTTACTTGCAAGAGAGAGGCTCTATACTGAAACACAGTGAGAGAATAGGCAAGGGAAATTTCCTTAGAGTGAGTACTAATGACTTATTCATGCTTGTGGAGAGTAAGGTCACAAGTTCACAAAGAACCTTATATCTCCTTGCATGGCTATTTCAGGCCCCCACATACCTTATTATCTAGACGGTGCAAGTAGGAATAGATGTATTCAATGCTTGCTCCAAATGGGTGGACATGAAGGAATGTGGAGATAATCCCTATAGAGACAATACCATGGAGGTTACACTTGAGCATTGTATTCTTTGAGATGCCACATGATACTGTATAGCAAGAACTAACTCCTATGTACAACATATTATATACCAAGCACTATTCTAAGTTTACACGTAGTTTACTCATTTGATCTTTACAACAATATTGTGAGGTAGGTATTATCATCCTCATTTCACAGATAAGGAGACACTGAGGCATAGAAAATTTAAGCAACTTGCCCAAGGTCACACAGCTGGTAAGTGGCAAAGCTGGTATTTGAATTGAAATAATAGCTCTTAACCACTACTCATACGCCTTTCACTACACTGCATCACATGTAGAAAAGCTAACATTTGAGGAGACACTTTCATCATTTATGATGGCTGAAGACAATTTGAGTTCTACATTTTACAATTAATTAAAAATTTTACAATAAACTCAGAATCTGCTGGGTTTTCGCAGTTCCTCTGCACGGCCTTTAAATTGAACTTTAGCTTCTTATGCATTAATAATGTCTTGTCGTCATGGCAAAAGTGCAAATCATGTACTTTTCCTGATTAACCTCATGCTTCTCACAAGAGAATCTTCTAATTATATTTGGGTTTTATTCTGTGAGTAGCTCTATAAAGAAAAGCCAAACATTTCATTCACTTCAAGTGGTCACTAGCATTTTATTGGTGTTCACAGCCCTGAGGAACAGAACTCTTATAGCAGATCACAGCTTCCAGGAATATGCATGGTTTCTGCTTAGCATAACTCTGGGGTCATTGGCAGCTACAAATATTGCCTTGATTGTTCTGGCTATCAGGTTAATTTTTCTAATACTTCTTTCTCTGACAATGAATAGAATACAAATTGTTCAAAAGTCTACATTTCTTTCTTTAAATTGTTTGAATTCACCTCCTTTCATAAGATCTTAGGTACCTCAGATAGACCCAGAATTGAGTTTACTGAAAACTTCCAGGAAATAAAAGCTAAAATTAATTTGGTTTATAAACTACAACTTGTCTGCCCCTTTTAGTGACTGACGAAGAATATCACAAATTTAAATTGTAGCTTGAAGTTCATATCAGTTCTTTATGAAAATCCTCCAAATATTAGATGGCAATGGGGGTGGGTTGGGAGATCAGGAGGAACTGATTGTAGGTTTCAAAATCGGTTTAAAATAGATGCTATTACTTATAACACTATTTTAAATGACCAGGCAAATTACATTTTTAAACACTAACTCAAGCTGACAAACTTAAATTCTGAAGAAAACATTCTATGTTGAAAGGAATTCTAGATGCTATGGTCAAGAAAGACTGTCAAATGCCAAGAAACAGCTCCATAGGTTTCAAAACACTAAGCAGTTTTTGTAGGTTCATACCAAAAGAACCAGTTTAAAAAATAGATTTTTCCTTTTCTCTGTCAGCTCAAGACTCCTTTCTTTACAAAAACAAAGCAAGAAACACTTATCTTAAGAATCTTTGTTTCTATAACTATCCATTTACAGAAGCTTCATTCTGCCCCCACTCCCAGCTCTTCTCTGACAGGTCTCCCATTTGCCATGCCAATTTGTTAACTTTGAGTTGGAAATTGGAAATAAGTTGTCACTTTTCTTGAAGACTCAATGGCAGATCTCTCTGTGCATCTTTATTTACATATCAAACTGTTAAATCTGAGTACAATATACATTACCAAATAAGGCAGATATATCTTAAAAAAATATGCAGAAGCTGATCAGTGTGGAGAACTTTTGAGATGGGGTGGGACAACTTTGTGGCTTAGCTTCCTAGAGGGCCACTAAAATTATCTGCTGAGATCAAGATCGGATCCTTTTAAATGACTGAATATTTTAGGACCTCAACCTGCCACTGTTCTTCAAATAGAATATAAAGTCAGTAAGCATTTCTGAATAGTGCTGTAAGTGCAAAATGGTTCTAATTTATTGAGGTCTTACTATGGGCTGGGTACTGTACTAAGTAATTTAGATGAATTATTGCATCTGATACAGCTGCCCTTTGAGATAGGTAATATTATACCTATTTTGCAGATGGAAGAACTGAAACTCAGGATGGAAATGGTGGGATCAAGACAGGAGGCTAGGTCTGTCAGATTCCTTAACAATTTATGCTATCTTGCCTCTGTGAATGAATTTTTACATAACTAGAGGAATTCTAGCATTTATGTTATCAGAGCCCACAATGTCCAACGCCTCACAGGGAGCTTTCTGAGTCATCTGCAAGTAACCTGGAAAAGCTTAAGAGAGGCACACGCTTCCTCCATAGGCTCACCTGGAAAAGTTCTGCCAGATGGTTTCTGCACTGACCCTTGAATGGGAGTGAGAGGGCTCAGCTATCTTTGCATAGAGATTTAAAAAATCTACATTGTGTTTCTCCAACAGACAACCTCTTAGCATAGTGCTTATACTGACACATTTGATGTGACGATGGCCACAAGGAGCTTGAAGACTGCTGGGGACTGCTGTTACCATTTTTATTGAAATATTTATTTGTTCTTATCCTATTGTCTTCAGGACTTTGGATCCTTGCACTGTCACACTTTATAAATGTTCAGCATGCGCTTATTCATTTTAAGTAAATCATTCCTCCTCTCCACTGTACTCTATACATTGTATGTGTGTGTTACCTTCCTTACCCACTAGTAGGGCTTCACGTTCAGATTTGATAGGATTGCTGTTCAGGTTCTTCTCAAGAGGGTAGTCACTATCCTGGCTTGATGCACACAGTCTAGAAGCACAGCTTTCCTGTGGGAATAATATGCTTCCTGGGTCAGTTCACTTCATTTGGTAATAGATTTGGTTTTAATTACATAAGGAACTTCTTAACACAGCACTCTAAAAATAATACTAATTCTGATTATTGAATGGGAGGAAGAAAAAGAGCATAAATTACAAAAGCATCACAAGTAATCCAAAGCTTATTTATATGGCTTCAAAACAGAAAAAAATTAGGCATTCATCTTCATCACTTTTAGTTTTCTGCCTTCATCATTCTTGACTCTATACAAGTAATTCGGAGAACCAGACCCAACATTTATTGTTTATTGTGCCTGGTAGGGGCAGATTGTGGCTGATTGAGATGTTTTGCCATTTCTTCCGTTCCACAATCCCTCAGCAGGACAGGATTCCTTCTGTTTTCTTTAAAGATGTTTTCAAAACTTCCAGGATGCTGCCCATGAACAAAATGAATGGTCTATGCTGCCAAGCATGTTGTTTTCTGGATTAACAGGCTTTCAGGCTATCGTCAGAAGGGAAACATTTCTTGATGACCTACTCAATCTTTGGCCTTTACAATCTAATCCAGGCAGTAACTATTATGCCACATTTGATTTAGATTACTGGCTCAATTCTAAGCCATTGGCTGTACATCTGTTGCTAATCCCCTTAAAACATTAAATAATCTAGTAAGCCATTTCTTAAGTGTGAGAGTTTAACAGATTGGGGGTGATTTAAGCTCAGAAAATATCCCCAAAAGTTTTAGCCACCCTGAATAAAAATATAGTCTTGCTGAAATTTGACTTCAATTTTGTTATAGCTGGCGTTTAAAAAATTAGAAAGCATATTGAAGGGATGCTTATCACCTTGAATTTTACTAGCAGATTCAAATAACTAGTTCTTTCTGTAGTAAGACATAGCCATGTTAGAATATTGCAAAAAACTGGCAATAACTCACACTGCAGTTTAGTATCAAGAAACTCGAGCCAAAAGAAAAAAATTCCTCCTCAACCAAAACATTACTTTCCTTTCAACCTAAAATTACATTTGCAGTCCAATGAAATGGTACTTTGCTTTCTAACCTAATTGTATCAAGTTGAAATATTTGGTCACAAATCAGTTTCACAGAGATCAGTTTATAATGAACTGTCATAACTTTCTCTGAAAGAAACTTTGCTTAAAATAACAGAAAAAATATACTCTGACTCATATTTTTCTGATTATCACTTGGATCTCTTTCCTTATCCTCCAGCTGTTACTTCATGGTATATTCAGTTTCAGATTGGGAAACATTTAGACTTACGCTGCTTACATTAAAGCACTGAAAACATCCTCGCACTAAAAAATTTCCTTAATAATAGTGGAAAAAACATGGTTCTGGTAAAGATGGTAGAGTAAGTAAATGCTGTGCTCACCTCCTCGCATGACTACATCAAAATTTTAGCTGACGTGCCAACAACAATCAAAGCTCAACTATAATAGGACGACATATACAACCCACACAAGGGATACTATTGGAGGTGATCATGGAGAATGTGCCATGGGGACACAAAAGACACCTACTACATAAGGACATCCTGCCAAGAATGGGAAATGTAGACTTCCCTCATACATAGAAACAAATATAAAGGTAGCCAAAATGAGGAGACAAAAAACATGTCCCAAATGAAAGGACAGGAGAAAAATGTCAGAATAAGAACTAAAGGAAATGGAGGCAAGCAATCTAACAGATACAGAGTTCAAAACACTGATTATAAAGATGGTCAAGGAACTCAATGAGAACTTTGGAAAAAGGACATAAAGAATATAATAACTTAAATGAAGAATACACTAGAAAGAATAAACAGCAGATTATATGAGAGAGTATTGAATCAGTGATTTGGAAGACAGAGCAGCAGAAAATAGCCTATTGGAACATAAAATAAAAAAAAGCATTTAAAAATGAAGATAGTTTAAGGGACCCTTGGGTCAACATCAAGTGTAACAACATTTACATCATGGGGGTACCAGAAGGAAAAGATAGAGAAAAAATAGTTGAGAATCTATTTGAATAGATAATAATGGAAAACTTCCCTAACTTGCTGAAGAAAATAGGCATACAAGTCCAGGAAGCATAGATAGTCCCAAAGAAGATGAACCCAAAGAGGCTCACATCAAGACACACCATAATTCAAATGCTAAAAGGGTAAAAATAAAGAGACAATCTTAAAAGCAGTAAGAAAAGGGAAGTTTAGTTATCTACAAGGGAGCTCCCATAAGACTGTCAGCTGATTTCTCAATAGAAACATTGCAGGCCAGAAAGGATTGGCACAAAGTATTCAAAATGAAGAAAAGCCAGGACCTACAACCAAGACTATTCTACCCGGTGATGCTTTTCTTTAAAATTGTAGAAGAAATAAAGACTTTTACAGAAAAGAAAAAAAAAAAAAAACTAAAGGAGTTCATCACCACCAAGCCAGTATCACAAGAAATGTTAAAGGAACTTCTTTAAAAAGAAGAAGAAATAAAACATAAATATTAATAACAAAATAGCAATAACTATGCACTTATCAAAATCACTCTAAATGTAAATGGATTAAATGCTATAATCAAGAGACATAGGATAGCTGAATGGATAAAAAGTAAGACTCATACATATTCTGCCTACAAGGGACCAACTTCGGACCAAAAGACACACATAGACCCAAAGCATAAAGATGGAAAAAGTTTTCATGCAAATGGAAATGAAAAAAAGCTGGAGTAGCAAAAGTTATTTCAGACAAAATAAACTTTAAAACAAAGATGAAAAATAAATAAATAAAAATAAATAAAACAAAGCTGATAATAAGAGTCAAAGAGGGACATTACATAATAATAAAGGGATCAATACAACAAGAGGATATAACCCTTGTAAACGTTTATGCACCAAACATATGAGCACTTAAATATATAAAGAAAATATTGACTGACATAAAGGGAGAGATTGACATCAATAGAGTCATAGTAAGGGACTTTAACCCTCCACTGACACCAGTGGACGTATCTTCCAGACAGAAAATAAAAAAGGAAACAGTGGCCTTAAATGACACACTAGACCAGATGGATTTAATTGATATTCTTAGAGCATATCACAACAAAGCAGTAGAACATACATCCTTCTCAAGTGTACATGGAATATTTTCTAGGATAGACACATATTAGGCCACAAAACAAGTCTCAATAAATTTAAGAAGATTAAAATCGTATTAAGAATTTTCTCTCACCACAGTGGTATAAAAGTAGAAATCAATTACAAGAAACAAACAAACAAAAAAACCTGAAAAACACACAAACACATAAATATTAAATAACAAGCTCCTAAGCAACTAACGGGTTAACAATGAAATCAAAGAATAAATCAAAGCCTACCTGGAGAAAAATGAAAATGACACACAATGACCCCCAATATGTGGGACACAGTGAAAGCAGTGTTAACAGAGAAGTTCAAAGCAATACAGGCCTCCCTTACGAAACAAGAAAAATTTCAAATAAACAATCTGGCATTACACTTAAATGAACTAAAAAAATAACAACAAACAAGCCCAAAGTGAGCAGAAGGAAGAACATAACAATGATCAGGTTGAAAATAAATGAAATAGAGTCTAAACAAATAATACAGAGAAAAAATCAAAGAAACCAAGAGCTGGTTCTTTGAAAAAATAAAATTGATAAATCTTTAACTGGACTCAAGGAAAAAAAAGAGTTTCTGAATAAATGAAATCAGAAATGAAAGAGAAGTGACACCTGACACCACAGAAATGCAAAGGATTATAAGAAAACAATATGAACAATTATATGCCAAAAAATAAGACAATCTGGAGATGAATAAATTCCTAGAAACATATCACATTTCAATACTGAATCATAAAGAAACAAATCTGAACTGACAGATTACTACCAATGAAATCAAATCAGTAATCAAAAAAACGACCCATAGAGTTTAGAGAAACATGGCAGAGTGAGAGACAGCTGTGGGTGCAAAACCAAGTCTGAGCCGCAGCCCCCAAACACCAATCCAGAGGGCCCATTCCCCCATATTCTCTGAGAACGAACACCGTGGAGCCCCAGGAGAATCTGAGCAAATGCTACCAAAACTGTCGCTAACACTAACAGGGACTGACTAAGAGTAGTGAGCGTGATTAAACATCTATAAGAAAAAAAAAAAGGCATTATTGAGGCTTTCTATAAAGAAGGGATCCAAGAGGCTTAGATACCTACTGGAAACCAAAAGAAAAGTGCCTTCTTTGCAACAGGCTAAAAAGAGATGTTTATATAATAAACCTTCTTCTGTAAAAAAGGCAAAATACACTTCCATTATGCCCCAGTGGAGAAATAGTCCATTAAACACAATGAACAACCTAGGTGACAAGGCAGCTCCGAAAGAGAAAAATCTCCAGAAAATAGGCTTACAGACATAGAAATATGCAACTTAATTGATAGAGAATTCAGGATGGTATTTCTAAAAACACTCAGTGAGATATGAAAGGAGTCATATCAACAATTTCAGGAATTGACAAAACAACTAGATGAGCAGAATGAGTTCTTTAGCAAGGAGACGGAAACCCTCAAAAAGAACAGAATAGATCTTCTGCAGATAAAAAAATCAAAAACAAAAACAACAACAACAAAACAACAAAAAACACTGCAAGAGTTGGAAAATGAAATAGGAAGCTTGGGAAATAGAGTCGACCAAATAGAGGAAAGGTAAGTGATATTGAAGACAGAAATCCACGAATAATCAGAAGGAAGAAGAGAGACACTGAAGAATGAAAAATAATGAAAGAAAAATACAAGAACTAGCTGATATCAGGAGAGGAAACATAAGAATAATGGAAATTCTCTAAAGGGAGGAAAAGGAGCAGGGATTAGAAAGCATTTTCAGACAAATAGTTGATGAGAATTTCCCAAATCGAAGGAATGAGCTGGAGCTTGGAATTCAAGAAATCAACAGAACACCCAATTATCTCAACTCGAAAAGGCCTTCACCAAGAACTTTGCATTAAAATGATC